TTCCAGTTAGGAATTCAAACGAGTAGTTATCTTAATGTATCCAAACAGTCTCTAATTATTCGAGGAATAAAATTAATCAATGCTCAATAAAATTGATCAATGAGAAATAACAATTGTTTTAAATATTTTGAAATAAATATTATAAATACTGTTAATTTGAAACTAACCATTGTTTCACGCCGTCAACACAAGCGATATATTTTTTTAAATCGGATGATCAATTCTTTGAAGATTCAAAAACAACATTACTAAAGTGATGACCATTTAAAATTTCTTGCATTTCCGAATCGCTCGATCTTTTTTGAATTTTTTAAATCGGTTGATTCGCTCTGATATTGTAGACAAAAAATTAAAGATTCTCAAAAAATCCGACATTTCCACATTTGTGAACCGATTTTGAAAATTCAAAAACTGTTTGAAAGTTTTCAGTTGGCAATCGTGCTGATTAGTTTTTTGTAAGATCGGCTGCGTCGTTTCTTCGTAAGTAATTGTAGAAATCCCTTTTTTCAAAAAAAAAACTCTGTATAGAGATAAAATTTATAGTCTAAACTAACATAAATTTTATGTAACTACAACAAGTGATCAATTATAAAATTTATTAAATTTTGGAATAATAAACTAGTCAAGTTTAACTGGAAAAAAGGGAGCCTCGCCAACGAATTTCGCCGACGGCGACGCGTGGTCTAGCGCCGCCACTGGTACGTACAATCAAAAATATGCAAAGTATCGTGATATAGTATTCAGCATAAAGAATTGCACACCCTACGAGTTATAATTAATAATTAAATTAATAATTTAATAAAGAAATGATCATATCTAATGTTTGATTTAATAATTAAATGAAATTTGATAAACATTTTAGAGTTGAGATTCTAATCACAATTGCACTACCTCTGTACTTTTTCCATTTTAATAAAAGGTACAGCTTAGCGACGCATCATTTCATGCATATGAGTGGTGTCGTTGAACAGTTTAACATATCAAGCATGCAACAATTAGTTGATAATGTGATAATGTGATATGTGGATCCATACAGACAAATGTCTGTTTGGTTATACGGTAGCACATCGATTATGATAATTCACCGTGTTATCATATTACCATTGCATTTTACATTTGAAGCCGATTGTAGTAACGATGTTTGCAAGAATTGAGATTACGTAATGAAATTTCTGTCGTGAAAGCTGTTGCAGTGACAGCGAATGCATTCGAGACGTTTCGGATTCAATACTGGACTGTGAGAGAAAATACCATTTGAACAAGATGTTCAACATACGTGCAACGGTATTTAGTAAAAGAAAAATTTGACAATATGTGGAAATTATGTTTATTGTAGTTTGTTGTAATTGTATAAATATATTTTGGTATAACAAACTACTGAAAACTATTCTAAACGTATTTAATAAAAATTAAACAAAAACGACGAAGTCGATGAAGAGCACAAGCAGAGAAATTCGTATATTGTTTTTTAGAGATTTTGTGTTGTTTTATTACATTTACTTTGAACACATTTTATTACTATTCCAGATATTTCGTACATATACATACTTTTCAATACATCATATCAATAGCTTCCAAATTGATAAAAAAAACAAATCTCTGAAAGTTTTAGCTCTTAATATTAACTTCATGATAGTCCGCACTCCAACCAAAGTTTCTATGGAAATAACATGGGTAAAATTTCATTTGTTTTATAGCTTAGCGACAAGTAAATCAAAATTTAGAGAATAACATTGTTTGTATTTGCTTATTCTGATTATCAATAAAAAAATTACAAAATTTAATTAAAATAAAAAATTGATATATTTCATAAAATAAGTATTTACTTAGGAAGAAAAACGAAGAAACTTTGGTCGGAGTGCGGACTATCTTAAAGTTAATATTAGGAGCTAAAACTTCAGAGAATTGTTTTTTATTAATACGGAAGCATTTGAGCCCCTGGGAGCAAGAAAATTTAAAAACATCCATATATATATATTAGGTATGTGTGTGTGGTGGATCACATGTACTATATGTACCACATTCATTTGTTCAACGTCTTTGCAATACATTTACAAATAAAGTTCACATAAAACAAAAAGAATTATGTTTTATATTATATTCTTATTTTTGAACAGCAATAACAATTTAACAGTTTTATTGGCTATTGTGAATGTTGTAATAAATATTCTTTTTAAGTCTCTTAATTTTTATATTAAAATTTCTTTAATACCGAATTTATATTTGTGGTTTGATGCAGCAATGTATATAAATGTAAAATAGATGTTTTTTTCTGTAAACATATTTTAGATCTATATTTTTAAGTAAAAACCGAATACACTGCTGCCTTATATTAGGCTGTGCAAGATGGGCATTAAATCTGATACTATGCGTTTTCAAGCCCAAAGCTATTCCCACTGAACCATGAAATATTTTTGTATTTGGATTATGGATTTTTCAAAATTAAAATATGTTTCTATCCAATATTATATAGCTTTAAAATAAATATATACTCAAGTATTATATATGTGCCTGCATATATGTTCATGTTTGTGCATATCAAAAGTATTTAGTGCAATAATAATTTAATTAAAGTATCGGAGAAATAGCTACTGTATTTACCATTTTTTATCACAATCCGGTTTCTTAATCTGGCGAAACACACCTTGCAATATGTCGTTAAGAATAACTTGTATATGCTTATTAGTGAAATAGTACTACACGACCATTTAGAGTAGATCTGGAGCAACGCGGCGAAACATTGCAATTTGTATCTGCTCAATGGGAATCTAACTTAACTACTACTAATATCTAATTGACCGTTATTAACGCATTGGGACATAGGAATGCTATTTCAAAATGTTTCAATTCATGGGAGTTAGTTCTCAAATTACCCATGCAATATAATTTTTTTATTTTAGTTGTTTTGTCCCATTGAGCTCATATAATTCAAAGTAAATGTAATACTAAAAAATGAGAGAGATATAAATCCTGTAACTTATAATTGCTTTTTATATAATATTCTATTTATAATAATCTATTTGATAATATTGAAAACAATTATTATTAATCGTTGGTAATTTTTTGTTGATTATTTTTTCCTTGAATCAATTTGCCTTAAGGCACAGTGCCATGCACCACTAGTTACATACATTTTACCACAGATAAACAAGTATAAAGTGCCTATTACTACTAGTTATATAGTTTACATAGAACATAGTTAAACAAGTACTTATTACTACTAGTTATATAGTTGCATTTGCACAGTGAAAAATGTCTCTTATAGAAGTGAAGAGAGATTTAATGTAAGCATATTTTTCTCAGTATTATTAGTTGTACTAAGTCATATGTAGCAAATTAATTCATTATTTTGATAAAAATGTTGACGAATAACGAATAACATTTTCTATGGTTAAAATGTAAAAAGAACGACCTAAAAAGCTCATTGAATTTATTGCTAATTTCTGTTGCTTCAAACTGATTAGAAACATAAAGATTTTTTTTGTAGAATAGAGCAGTAATTTACAATAGTATTTCCAGATATTCAATTGGAAACAAGTTTGCAGATTACCCAGTGACAATGGGGAGTAAATATGTTTGCAAATAACAGCTGAATTACACAAAAAACTAAATAAATCACTTAATTGAAACTCAATAGTCATCGACAGGAATTATAAGGTTTTAATTATTATGCAAGAGTTACTAGATCGAAACTTTTGTTGTTTTCTTCAATTTTTTTCCAATTTTTTGTCATATGACCCCCAGAATTTAATTTACACACCCAATACAGGCAACATTTTTGTA